AATGAGGGAAGCAGCAGGGCCGAAGACGGTAATGTCGTACTGCAGTAGTGGCGGAAAATGTGTGAGCGCGCGGAGAATGGAGAAAGAGGCGTGTTGTGTAGTGTGGAAGCAACAGCCCTACTTCGTTTTGATGTGACTGGGAGCCCCTGTAAGGCGCTGTTAGAAACCGGAGAGTCGTGAAGCTTCATTAGTCGTATCGTAGTGGAACGGCTACAGTTAGAGGGGCGACGGCTCCCCACAGAGTAAATATTCGATGCGGCTAATGGTGATCAGCTGCGTATTGACTTGACTATGTGGCGGAGATGTGAGCGTTCCTCGGGAGATTTCCTTGTGGGCCCTATTCCGCATAACCTGCTTTTGTGGCTTGGCTGGCTCACTCATCATGATGTTGCATGGGATTTCCAGTTTGATAATCTGCGAACGCATGTGAACGGCTGATGGTGCAAGCCTCCTGCAGTAAGAACAAATGAAGGAGAAAACAAAGAGGGACGGCTGGCGGAGTCGCGACAAAGAATCAACTTTTCAAAGTATGGTGTTAGAGAACGGCTAGAAAGAAAAGACGGCCAAGATGGGAAAAATTTCAAGGAATGGGGCGGCCGATGAAATTCAGGAGGGGGGGAAGCTGTAATGGGCACGCACTACAATGGTACTCAAATTGGACCACTATCCTGCAGAGATAGCGAAAATAATCTGCTATTAAAAATACGTCAAGGAACATGAACAGGAGATAAGGCTATCTGGTCAAGAGAGCGCTGCAGCTACCCCGGATCTGGGACTCGCTGTAGGACGTCCCGCCATAGCCAAGAAATTGACCTACAAGGAGTCAGCATGATGATTATTATTTTTGCTCTTCCTCCCTTAGGTGGATTAGACCCGGAACCGAATGAGAGGTTGTTCTTTGATGTCTTAAGGTTATTTTAAGGGTGGAGCCCTGAGTGTAGCGTTTGCTTATCGAGTGTGTACATAAATAGCTATATAGGACCGAAAAGCTGAGAGCGCTGCTCACGGTGGCCTGCAGCACCACTGCGTATCCGGCACTCTAGGTAAGCGGAAAGAGTTTTGCTGTACGGAAGAATTTAAGTCAAGCCTGAGTTGGAGCTACGAGACAATATTAGTTGCTATTTGGCCCCATAAGGTGGGCAGCAGCACTTCGAATAGCCAGATAACGTCTACTAGTAGATGCCTAAAAGGGTTTGGCGCACTACAGGTGTTCCCAAGTCTGCGACTGTGGGAATGCAAGGCTATCTTATGTGTAGTGCACGGGCAGTACGATGGATCTCTGGTGTGACCTCTAGAGGCCTCGTATCATGAAAAGAAACAAGTACTATGGAATACTTCAGAGATTAGGACACCACTAGATAGATAAGCAGCTTAATAGAACCAGAGCGCTTGCCAGCCGGCACCAGCTTGGGGCTGGGTGTAAGGCTGTTGCTCTGACTCTGCCACTGTCCCTCAATTCTACTACTCAGGGGGTTTTGGCCCCAACAGTAATACCAACTCGAATGTATAATGGCTATTTATGTTGTCAAGTAGAGGATTTAGCAGGAATCATGGATTTTAGTAGCTGGTTATAGAGTGTGCACTGAATCTGCATTGCTTAGGGGACATACGTAGTAACGGCGAAGGCCAGCTGTTCACTACGTGATGCCCGTCGTCGGGATGCTGTGGGATCAAAAAGCTCAGCCGATTCCGGCAAAAAACATTTGAGTAGTCGAATACTTCGTCGATCCGGTGCGTTGGGAACCTTGTTTCACCTTGAACCTTCTGTACATGCTACAACCCTTGCCAGTTCTCTTGTCCATCACCGGATTGTGTCCGAATGCGCTAGTTGACGATTGAACCTTCTCTCTTCTTAGCAATTCGCCTGCTTGCCGCTCTACTTCCTCTTCAAGATGTGGGGGTAACGTGTACATTGAAACTAAGCTTGACGCTGCTCCCGGAAAAGGAGATCGGTGCAGTGCATTGGGCGTCCAGCGGATTGCCTGCCTAGTGCACCTCGGGTGGCTATAGGCATGCTTCGAATCCTATGGTAGCTACTTCAAGAGCCATATGTAGGCCTAAATACCTATGTAGTGCACAAGTTTGTCTTCCTATGAGCAAAAGCCCCTGAGTTCAATTCCAAACCAACGAAAACGAATTGTTTGCCCACAGAGCCCGATGCGTAGTGCGCAGTTTACCCACTGGAAAAATATATTTAATAACTGTGTTGGCGGCCGCCAGCTTGGCTGGTTTCCGTATTACTTCCCAGTAATTATGCGATCTCTTACATTTGTCGTTTTAATTTGTTTTTCAATTTATTTTCATATTTGTCGCCCTTCGGCGGTATTCGCGGGCCCCACAGTAGCGCGCCTCAGAGTGTATGTGTATATCGTCACGTCCCCTGTCTTCCATCCGCGAGGCGTCGTCGCAGAGACTGCACTGGAGTATGCTTGTGAGTTGCGTTTCTTCGCCGTAGCTTCAGATATACGATCCCCATCGCAGCAGCCGGTGTCAAGTAACGCTAGCACCCCATGACCATTAATACGAATTTGGGTAGATACAAAGTTAACTCGAGGCAGATCTGCAGGCGTGGCTTCACCTCCTTCAGCCCAACACTGCGCCTCCCGATGATTGGGATCCACGGCGTGGGAGCTACGGCGTTACCCCAAAAAGCTTGGCTTGCTCCTCTGGTGTCTCTGCTGGAAGCCTTGCATCAAGAGTCCCTTATCTCGTTGCATGCATCTACAACGTCGAATGATGCGACTTTGCTTAATGGAGGGGGAACTAAGGGGCGGTGGGCTTTGCCAGGCTGATGGAGTGCTTACGTGGAAGTGGCTTTTTTCTCTTTGCTGCGTAGGCACTCCATCAGCTTGGCAACGTCCACCGCCCCCTATTCCTTCTTCACGGCCCAGCCAGTTACCGATTGCTTCTCTCCGGGGGACAGCCGGGCAAATATCCATTTGTATAGAAGTTCTGGCTTCATTGGTGAACTCCTGTTTACCAAGGACTGATACTTCTCGACGCAGCGCTCTATCAATAGCTTCCCTCGTTAAAGTTTTCTCAAATTTGCCACAGCTATTCTCTTAACCTGGGAATAAATGCATATTGTAGCAAGGCTTTAATACTTTGGATCTGCTCGGGAAAGTGGTGCCTTTGTCTAGAAGTAGCTGCAAAAAGGCGTGCCAAGAACGAATGTGCCAACACCATCTGTAGCCCAGTGGGCGCAATCTAGAGACCGAGATAAAACTCCAGAGAAGCAAGGAGCTCCTCCACTGCCCCCGCACCGCGGCTTCAGTAATGTGTGGATGGTCTGCACAGGCAGAAGCATTCTCCATGAGCCTTTTTGCTGGAAAAAGGTTATCAACTCGGTGGGATGCAGATATTGAGCTAATGCCAGCGCTGCAAGGCTCCCAGGCGTTGGCCGCTTCCCCGCAAGAGTGCTGGGCCCGAACAATACTCATAAGGAAAAACGGGCGAGATTTTAACGGAGATTTTGAAAGTATCTGAAGATTCTTTTTGCCAGCATTTCCAAAGCACCTTCGACGCCAGGCAATGCTATGCACCAGCTCATATTGCTACAGGGATGCGACTTGCTCCTCGCACCCGTCTTGATGAAATATGCTGCGCTGAAAAAATGTACGAGAGTTCTCGATCTTCCGAGGACCGTCGTCAGTTGCAATCGTTCTTTTAGGTAAGAGTTCTCAAGAAGCAGAACTACCTCTTCAGTCCACAGATACCATGGCGCATCGGCCCAGGGCCTGGGACCGGGGGAGAATAGGCAGCATGAGATGAGTTGCACCACACGTCGTTGCAACTAATGCTGCGAGGCATCCCCACTTGCTAGCGCAGCCAAACCCCCTCTTGCAGTCTGCACTAACACTGCAGACAATTGTACTTTTGTTTGCGTGCTGGCTGCCTACTATGGCAAAGTAGGTGTTTGTGTACCAACTTCGGGCAAACCACAGTGGAGCGAGGCTTGCCCGAAGTTGGTACACACATGGTGCTTTAACCAGCTACAGCACACCCATTTTGCTTTCAATTCATCCATGCTAATGCGCACCAATAGCACATCCACGCTTCCCGGTGGTCCAAAAAAAGAATGTAAAATCGCAGCTTCACAACTTCACGCATTGCTTTCCGGGGGGCAGTTTTACATAGATGTTCCGAGCAACATTTTTGGATGGCTCCAGTTTTCCCCCATTACACAATTATAACGGGTTTTTCTTCGTTTCAGTCGTATGATGCGAGTTACTATTTCCCTTCATTTCAGTAATATGATGCGAGTTACTACTGCATTATCCTTTCAGCTTCCCATTGGTAACGAGAAGACTTGCACTCAGCCGGCGCGGATGAGTCAGGGCCGCAGAGAGTCGGCAGCCGAAGCTGCTGAAAGATGTGCGTGGCCGCGTTATCGCAGCTTGCCTATTTGCCTTTTTATTACTACTGGCTTAACTGAACACTGTATCAGTATCATGTGCGGACTCCCGTTTAACTGGAACAACCTGCGCTCAACAGGCTTCATTGCATTCACCCCAGGAGCCGGGCATGCCTTCCAGGCTTTACGGGGTATGAAACTGTGTGAAGGGCTGCAGAATATCGTATAGCAGCTGATAGCAGCTTTATGCGCCAGTTCCCGTGTGTAGATTTCCTACAGTTTAACGGTAGGTTCGTGCACCGTCGATAGGAAACGAGTGTCGTTGTCACGCTTCCTGCGGAGTTATTCAGAGATGTAAGGGAGAGAAATGCATGCTTTCCGCGTCGTCCACAAAAGCGCTTCAAAAACAGCAGCAACTACGCTGCCGGCTATTCGAAGGGCATATCCAGTTGGTATTTTGGCTGCAGAGACGAGAAAGGGAGGTCAGCCGTGTGCTAGGCGGTGGGCGGCCTCATTAGATCATTTGTCTACATTTCCTCCACAACGCGAGCGTCTGCATGGACATCAGCGGCGGAATTTCCAGCAGCAACCGCCTCAACCATTCGTTCAGGTCAAGTGCTTTCATGGAAGGGCGGAAGACAATCCCATGGCCTCGGTAGAGCCTGCAGAGCACCCGGACAATCTTGTGAGCTCAGGGCAGCCTTGTTCTCCGAACCAAAGCAGTGCACTTCCCACAAAAGATACGTGCGACCGACCCGTGTGCATGGAAAGGGCCAACAGCAACGCAGGCACCACGGCACATGCAGGTTTCCCCCAAACTGCAGATCCATTAGATTCCCCGTCATCAGAAGCTCTGAGAGAGACGCCTCGAACGTTTGGAAGGCGCCGAAGATCTATTAGGGTCCCATATAATGCAGCAGAGGTTAGTAGCGGCGGGAGCTTGCCTCCCGATAGAGAAGAGGGGGGAGTAAAACAGGTGCAAACGAGCAATGTTATTGTAGGCCGCCGTCGGGGCCGCGCTGCCCGCAGCTGTTTGAAGGCCGCAGCAGCCTGGCTTGAGGCTGTTTTGCCCCAAGTCTCTTCGGCAGATGCATCTAGGTATTCTGCTGTTGCGGCTGTTGCTATGCTGGCAAGGGGGGGACGAGTGGGCCGGTCTGCCTTCCCCTCTTGCGCAGCTTCCGCTCCTGATGCAGCACAGAAAGAAGCAGGATCATGGCAGAGACCATGCGAAGGTTTTCAAGGGGGGAAGACTGCACCTCTCCAAATTCAACGACCAGAGGCCTCGGACGGGGTAGCAGAAGCAAATCACGCGCCAGCGACGGCTGTAACGGCAGACCCAGCGGCAGAGGCAAGGGACGCACTTCAGTGCGCAGCAGCCCCTCCATCTATCGGTCGCCGTCAACGGAATAGAAGCTCTGTGGGCCATTTGGGGCCTCCAGGGACGCCAGATGTGGCGTCGGGGGGCGCAATGGATTTCCAGTTCCCCATCCTTTTTAATAAGGCTATTAAACGGCTGTTGAAGCCTCTCTTCCGCCGAACTGGGCAGCCTCGCCGACAAGCTTGTAGCCGCGCAGCTTCAGCTTCTACACCTGCACCTGCAGCTGCTCCAACTGCCGGTGCGGGGGCTGTTGCGGTGGGAGGGGCGCGCAACGTTCAAAGGCCCCGGCTTCCACCTAGGGTTTTGCTCCGGTCCTGGAGACCCCTCAGTAAGGCGCAGTCGATACTGGGACCGCGGCAGATCATGCATGCACGGCAGCAGCAAATGCAAACTGGGCAGCGGCAGTTGCTCCAAGAAGGCTCAGTCGTCAGCGAGCAGCAACGAGGGGCCGGAACAACGCAGCAGTTCCAGCAGCCAGTGCCGCAGCCGCAGCAGCAGCAGCAACAGCAGCAACACGAAGAGCGCGAGGCGGGTCCAGCTGCCGACTTGGCAACAACACAGGAGCAGGAGAATGCGGTGGGGCGCAGGGCTCTTGATGAAGGGGCACTACCAACAGATCATGCTGCGGGCCAGCCTGCTGCAGCCGTCATTTCAGGCGCTGCAGAGGGCTTCGAGAGCAAGGGTGGAAGGGAAGGTGAAGATGCGCCAAAGGACACCATGCCCAGTAGGGCGGATGCAGCTGCGCCGGACGTCGTACACGAGCAGAGGGGTGAGGTGCAGCAGCTACAGCAACAGGCGAAGGAGGTGCCCCAGAAGGAGACAGCTGCTAGGCCTTCTCCTGCAGAGCCAACAATGCCTCTGAAGAAGGCTGTGGGCAGGGGCTCCACACGTGGAGGCCCTGCACGTCGACCCCTCCCAATATGCTTCGTGCGGCAGCGCATTAGTACGCTCTACCGGCAGCTGTGCTCTCTCTTGGCTCCGCATTGCACCACCATCTCTGAGTGGACATATCGCAACGGGAATGTAGTGGTGACAGCTGGGTCTTTGCTGTCTCTAACGGCGACCCTGATGGCGGACATGCGGCTTCTTCGGACATTTAATCTGCTTGCAGGCTTCTGCTACTTCTCTTATAATTGGTCTCGACGGCCCCGCCTGACAGATGCAGCTCTGTGGAATGTGGTTTTTTTGGTCCTAAACACAGTGATGCTGTGGCGTGTACATACGGAGCATCGGGAGGTTTCGTTTAGCTCGGATGAACTTGACATATTTCAGAGATACTTCCTTCCTGCGGGGATGAGTCCGAGGCAGTTTCGTCGATTGCTCAGGCAAGGCAGTTGGCGGACCTTTCCGCAAGGTTATGTCTTGCAGCAGGAAGACAGCAGTTGCGAGACGCTGTGCTTTGTGGCGCGAGGGGCTGTCGAGATATCCCAAGGTGGAGAAGTAGTGGACACCTACAGAGGGGGAGAAACAGGAGCAGTCCTGGGTGTCGAGCCTTTTCTTTCGTATGTTGCTGACTTGAGGAGACTATCAGCGAAGCGTGTCAAGCACACGACTGCAAGCTCACCTGAGACGCTGGCAAGCCATGCGGACGAATCCCCTGAGGGGCTTCAGCGCCATCAGCAGACAGTGCCGGCCTTCGCAGTTGGGAAGGAACACCAACAAGCAACCTCTACAGACCAAAAGCAACAGCGGCAGCAGCAGCAGCAGCAGCCAAGCCGCACAAAGGAAGGCGGAGAAAGAACTTACAACGCGCATCTGATGGAGAATGCGGAGAGAGGTGCAGCCACTAACTCAAAAGCAGTGACGAATGCAGGTCAGGATGCTGATGCCAGCAAGCAGCAACACCAGATACCCCGAGAGAAACCGTCACAGACATCACCAACGCCATCATTGGAGTGTCCACGGCAAGGGGTCTCTACAAGAGCATTGCTATCGGCTGATGCTGGGTCTGACGGCACTTCGAATGGTGGACAAGAAAGCGTTTCGGGCACAAGCCTTGTTGCTGCAGCTGCTGAGGCTGCAGCAACTGCTGCTGCTGCTGTGCGCACAGCTGCAGCTACCGCCCTTCTAACCGAAACACCGCAAACAACTGAAGCGCATCTACCTGCGCGGGCCTCCGCAAAAGCGTCAACTGCCACCGCTCTTGTTCAAGGCGGGGTTTCCTCAGCTGCAGAAGGTGCACGGCACGTCGCCGAAGCTGCAGCAGCGGCGGCCTCAGCCGCAGTTGCAGCGGCAGCCGACGCAGCTAGCTTGACTGAGGCATCCCAATGCAGAAGGGCAGGCATGGAAAGGGGGATACAGCGACAGCAGCCGCTACGTGAGCGCTATTCGTCGTTTAAAGGAGAACCAGACGATGCGGACGGCCCACGGGAGGAGGAAACAGTTACGGCCCCCTCTACGGCCACCTGTATCACAGAGACGACCGTCTTTTGTTTAGATTTGAAAGAGTTAGCTGCCTTTGTGTTGCGAGAACCCGGGAATCTGGGGTTCCCCGTAGTTCAAGGGCTGACGACCTTGCTGGTTAACCGTTCACGTGCCCAAGCCGCTCGACTTGCCATTCTTAGCTATGACGCATTCTTAGCCGGTGTATTCGCTGACGGGGTTGTGCAGACTGGCGAACGGAAAATGCTGGAGGAGTTTCGCAGGAAACGCGCCATCAGCCAGGCCCAGCATGAACAGGCCCTTGCCCGTCTTGGCTGGACACCTGAGGAGTTCGAGAGAGGCTCCCAAGCAAGCACTGGCGTACTGTCGCGCATGGCCTTTGGATTGGGCTCTTTTCTGAGGGGCTCTCCTGAACCTCATGGGACCACTGACGGCAGCCTACAGCAGCTGCATCAAGGAAACACCTCCGGCAGGGCCCACAAGGATGGAGACGCGTTTCATAGTGTTCTGCCACCTCTGCTTGAAGACTGGGAGCTTGTCGAAGACGAGCGGGCTGTCCCGCCGCAGCCGGCGCCTGGAGACCGACTATCTACAACTGGTTCAACAAACACTGCAGAGACCCACAGCAGTAAGGATTGCTTTGGGGATGCTGTTTCCTATGCGTTTGAAGCAGAAGCTGCATCGTTCCATTAGGCAGTGAAGATGGCTTCATGGTAATTAGGTAGTAGAGCGGTGAAAATACCACATTCCTTGAGGGAATTAGAGGCCTAAAGGCCGTTGCTAGAGGGAACGGAAGTAACCGACGGGCACGGTACGCGCTAAGCCCGCGTCCAACTGCACTCGGAGTACCATTTTTTAGTCAGGGGCGAAGGTGTTGCAAGCTGAAAGTCGTGTTCGCCACTGAACATGGCTGAGCCACGTTTATCTTGCCGAAACTGTCAGTATTTTCTTGAAACGCATTTTGGCAGAGCTGCCGCTCAATGTGTTAGCTTTCAACCAGAGGTGTTCTTTTTTCCCTTATGATGACACGCAGGATCTATATATTCCCTTAGTGTGCTCCGCGCTTGTACCCTGCACTGTGCATTTTTCTCTGAAACATCGTACGGCAGTGCCTGCGCAACAGAAGATCACATGCGTTGTGGGACAGTCCTCCTTGTGCGCCCCTTTTGTTTACCTGTCAAGGACGGTAATGCAGAAGATAGTGCTTATCAGAGAGCCTAGAGAAGAGGCCAAACTGCGCAAGGGTCAAGGGGCACCTGGGATACCAAGACAGCAGAAGGATGTATTCTGAGCAGAGAACAGCAGAGAGATCAGCAGAGCAGAGCAGAGCAGAGCCGAGCAGAGAGATGTAGGCAGAGCTTCGTGCAGGTTTACTTTCCGCTGCATAGTTTAAGGCCCCCGAACGTGATTGTGGCAATTAGGTGCGCACAACTCCGGTCCTTTCATCAAAGACCAGGTGGGCGCTCAACGCCTCACGGGATATGCGTGAGTGTTGTAGAACTGACTTTTTATTGTGAAATACCCTCGCTCAACGCCTCAGAGGATTCGTGTGGGCATTGTACAATGGGCTTATTGTAATGAATTACATTGGCCTGCAAACTGGTGATTGGCTCCCTGGGCCTTCTAAAGTGTTCTGTAGGACAAATTGATTAGAGCTACCTTTCGGCCCCGTTCTTGAACGGTCATCTGTGCTTGTGAACAGGCGTTTGAATGCGTACCGTAGGGGGTGGCTCCAATACCTGCTTGCTTTGTTTGTGCGCGGGCAGTATCGGCGCAGCTGAAGTTTTATGCGTCATTGCAGCGCCACGGGTGTGCAGGTGACTCTGCAGTTGTGTGAGCTTATTCTCCAACGTTTTTGGCACTCCCTGGCCAGTTGAAAAAATGTTCCCGCGGCTATGCGCTTGTCGAGATCTTTGCAGAGGTCCCCATAGTGTTGTAAACACAGTGCATGGAACGATTCCGAAGTTAGTGTTACCCTTATACCCTCCAAGGAGTTGATACAATTCAGGAAACATTGAAGTAGCTGTGGTGGGGCAGCGCCAAACCCTTCAAGATGGTGCTTCTTAAAGCTGCCAACCCAGTATTACCGTCAACGTCGGTCCCGATGTTGCACAGAACCCTGCAGCGGCAACTCAAATGTCATATTGTATGCCTACAATTTATCTAGGAAAGCATGGACAACTAAACTGGCCTGGTGTGATGTACGGGCACCGGGGATCGAACCCGGGATCTGAGTGTTCGGCAGAGTTCAGAGCCACTAGACCATGCCCACCTGTGCAAATCCCCTATTATGATATTAACTTTTTGATGCTGTGGTGTAGCTCATATCCCATGGCTTCGTAGTTGGCTACCGGTGCTAGTTGCTAGAAGTGCTTGTCCTCTTTGCCTGTTTCCACTGCCATACGCTAGCGCTATCCTGGCGCAGTACACCCTAGGGATATTAAGGAAATTTTGAAAAGGCTTTCGGTCTTCATCTCACATTGTTGGTGGTTAAGCGCCTTTGCGATGTGCTACCTTGTAATGGCCCAACGAGGATTGCCAGATTATGGACGGTCGATTGCTAGCAGCGTGACACAACTAGTCTTTGACCCACAAATGGAACAGAGGAAGTGGGGGTGTAAAGATGGCCAAAAGCGAACATGCTGTGACTCAAAATTGTGTCCCCTTGACTGATATATTGGGTAAGACGCAAACTCTTTTTGGCTTTGGAGAGGGTCTTGCGTGGACTGCACCCTTCAACACAGGGAGGATGCCCTTGCAACAAATGCAATCCTGTGAGCTTGGATTATATGGAGAATTTCAAGCATTAACGGCTGTCAAGTTAAAGATTGAGGCAACGGCAGGATTCTGGCTAGCCACGGCAGCGAGCCGTCGGCCGTCAAACCAGCCAGATAGGTCAGAGACACTCGTCGACTGGCTGGACAGCCGTTCCTTTGAGGCACGGAACAAAACTTTTGTGTGTTGGAAATTTTAAGAATGTATTTTCCGAATTATTTTCATGTGACGTTTTCAGTCGAAAATAATCTGGGTTTGTGGCAGAGCGGAAAGCACCAAGAGGTCACTTTTGCAGGACGGTCCTGTCGAGATTGTGCGTCGCCCGGATAAACTCTCAATTCAATGCAATACATGACACATAAAGCGTGAACTCGCTTTTTAAATATGAACCCATTTTGGATTTTGCCAGACTCTGTGGGAAGCTAGCATCCTCACCGTTTTCCCGGGCGCACAGGCGGCACGTCGCCATAGTGGACCACAGCCGGATTCTTTCCCAAGCAGCTCGATCCAAAGCCGAAAGTTCCACGACAACCCCAGTACAGGTAAATCAGTCACCCATTTGACATTAAAGAAGCCGGAAGCACAGCTGAAACTCCAGCATCAATCGTAGTCATACTCGGTCCATGTGCTATCACCCTCGAAGCTGCCCTGGTGATTCAATAAAAACGAGCTTCACAGCGTTTAGAGCTCATTCAAGATTAAATTCTAAATTCTCACGATCACGTGCAGTTCTTTGTCCCCTTCCGGCTTCGGAAATGCATACAAATTGTCTGCTTACGCCGAGCACACTTGCACGGTCATTAGTGGCGGTTCATAAAGTATTCTTCTCCAAAGGAGTCTTTTTGTTGGCTTCTCGCTGCCTCGTAGGCAATATTTTTGTAATTTCTCAACCTTAGTCCCCATAGAAACGCGCATGCTTCTTGTGGAAGCCCTCTACGGCACCAGTGCACTTCATGAATGCTATCTCCTATGCCACGTACGCGACTTTTAAGCGCTTCTGTGCAGCTATTGCGAAATCGTAGCTTGTTTGCCTTGATGTTTTGCACTCAGGTTCAAGTCTCATCGTTATAACTGATCTCTTCTTTGACAGCAAGATGATGCAAGACAATCGTGAATCGATGTGGGTGAACAAGTCCATTTATTGGGTTGGGCCCCCACCTCACCAGGTGCTGATATCTCGGAGCATCGCTGAACGCTTGCAATATGTGCACTCTCTGGATCAGTACCGCTTCTCTCTCCTGAACCGCACACTACACATGGAATTATCGCACTTAGAAACGCAGATGCTTGCACTGGGAAGACTTCACAGGCAACAGAAACGGCATAGCGGGATGCAATCTCAGGTGCTAGTTCCTAACGACAGCCGCTCACCACAGCTTTCCTCATTCAAGGCGATGCCTGAACCCCTCAATGCAGCTGAAAGACGACTGGAAATCCAAAGCAAGCTAGACTGCCTCCAGGAGCTGCTGCTTGAAATGGAAACCCAAAGTCAAAGAGTGGACGAGCAGTACCACGCCTTGGCTGTAGAACTGCACATTGCCGGAAATCACACGCGTCCCTTAGACGAGCGGGGAGCAGCAAGGATGGATGCGCGCCTCAACGAGATCCGAGCTGTCCTTCGAAAGAAGAATGACGAGCATGAGTCAGTTATTGAAATGAACAATGTGGGGAATTTCATAGCCAGCATCGTGAGCCACTTCCTACCTTCTACCCCAGATACTGTCGTTGAAGTGCGCAGCAAGAAGGAGGCGGATGCGTTTCTGTATAATATCGGGCCCATCGAAAAATTTAGAGACAACCGATTGAAGGAGGCTGCTAAGAGCCAGCAGAACACCCCAACAATATGAATTTTCGTGCAACCACAAAATCCAACACTGCACACAGGCACCGATATGCACAGGTACGACACTAATGATCGTAATACAGTTACCATTGCAAACCCTCGGCAAAATTTTGGCTTCTACAGTTAATTCAGTCAAGTGGAAGCAGGTTAATGCGAGGCTTAGTAAGCAGGCGTTCCAGCCGACGGTGACTAGAGGCGTTCGTGGACTTTTTAGGCAACATAAAAGGGTGGCTGGGAGCCACTGCTTACAAACACCGGGGAGCAAACCATACCGAGTAGCAGCTTAGCGCACGCAAATGCAATAGATGCGCATCGTCGCTGGTACGTGTCAGGGAAGCATATTCGCTGCTCCTTTTGCAATTTGCACGAGGCATTTCCATCAACTCCCTCACTTCACCTGGTCTGGATCGTTCGATTACGATGCCCTCCATTGCTGCTACTCATCGGAAGATATTCCCTGCTCTCGTTGCAATTTGGACATGCCGTCGCCTCCTTCAGAATTTGCTCGGTGTGCCTTGCTTGAACAAACTGAACTGAAGTGCAGTGGCTTGCTTCCAGACCCGTGCGGAATACATCAAGCATACGCTTCCCTCCACCCGTTACGCAAGTAACACGAAGAGGGGATTTGGAAAGCATTGGAGAACCTATTGAGGGTGCATCGATTGCGAACGGGGGCCCCTAAGGCAAAGGAGAGGAGTTACATAAGAGGATGCAGCGTACACATGGACATAACAAAGGCCGCCCAAAAGTTTCCCTGTTGAGAAGAGATGGACAACAGGAGTTAGAGGGACCCATATACGTCGCCATGAGTTAGGGACGCGCCTACATTTCATACTTCCGCATCACCTTCAACAATCCAACAGAATATTGGTCTCAGTAACTCTCTCAGCTCCACAAAAGAGCCACACGCATACCTTCAATTCTGACCTGTCATGACACTGGCGCAACTTACATAATGAGAACGCTGCGCAGGCGCATCTTTCTGAAGAGGGTAACTCTTACGAATAATGGCTCCCTGTTGAATCTGCCAAATCAAAGAAATGGGCTTATTAGCCTCCGACACGGGGGCAATATGCATATGCGCATACGTACTGATTCGATCCGGCGAAAAATACCAACGTACGGCTCAGCTGCGAATCATGCTATATGCAAGGGGAAAAAGCGGTTGCCGCGACAGCTCTAAGCGTTACGCTGGGCTTTGGGCTTCTTGCATTTCGTATTGTAGGCTGTAGGCTTCTTCTGCCAGTTCCGTTGCATAAGAGGTTAGCCAAATATGGCAGACAGAATTTTACACTATTCAAGAATTGCCGTTTGGGGCGTGTGCCTAGTGTATTCTCTGTTGCCAACAACAAGACGAGGAATCGTAGTGCACGTTGCCGGGCGCAAGCGACTCACGTACACGAGGTGACGCTAGCCAGCAACAGAGACAAGAAAATGAAGCTTAATCATACGAATAGAGTAGAACATAAAGATACCAAGAAGAATGATGGAGTTAGCAGGATAAAGCCCCGACGTTTCCTTCCCCACGAGGTGTTTAGGGCTGCGGCCCGAGCAGCGTAGCACTTGAGGGTCTCGGAGCTCCGAAAAGCTCACCCTTATTCCTCTTTTGTATATTATTTTTCAACAGTTTACAAAATGCATGTATTTTGTTAAGGCTAGTGTCTCTGGGGGACATAAGAGGGGCTGCTGCGAGGTCACTGGGCCCCCCGTCGAATGCAAACACTTTGAGTGTCTGGACACATAGAGCGGTGTACGGGGAAAATGATTCATCTATGCCATGTGTTCGTATAAAAGTACCCGTTTTCCATTTTTCGAGACACGGGAGTGATCGGGTTAAGTCTTTTTTTGGGCCTGAACCCGAGTCCTGCAGCAGGCGTCCGCCCACGACACACATGCAACGAGTTCCTTTTGGCAGTGCACAGACAAACCATGAATCCTGAACATATCACATTTCGATTCCATGTACCCTGGTTGCCGCAACTGGCTCTCCAACTGGCGGCCATAGGCTCCGTGTTGAGCCACTTTGCGTGCTGCTGCAACTTCATACGTTTAACAGTTTAGGTCATTCATCGGCTATTGTTTGATTGCTTTTGGTCTGCGGAGTTTCGCGATTAGCGCTGAGAGCTCTTTCCGGGAAGCATCCGCGGTTTGCGGACTAGGCATTGGGGAGATGCAGCAACAAGGGGGTGGGAAGCGCATGGCGGCTGCGGCCGACTCTCCAGCGCGTCAGGTGTTGGATTCCCCAGATGGTAACTCCAAAGATGAACAGCCACATGAACAATCAGAGGCGCTGGCAGACCGCGTCTGCACGGCCCCGAGCGCAGGCGATTTTCGGCTGGTTGAGGAGCCCCCAGAGTTCTTCTTGGCTGCAAACCCCTCCACCAAGCAGTTAGAGGCATTTAGAGCCTTCACGGAAAGTGCTAGGGCGGCTAGAAATGAGTTCCTAAGGGGTATGAAGGCCTCTGACATTGGTGCAGGGGCAGCTGGGGACTCCTCATGCACTCGCAGCAAGTCCGCCTTCCTCAGCCGCACAGTCAGCCGGCATGGCAGGGGCAGGGAGGTGCATCCCCCAGCTAAGGCATTATCATCTGCGCATATTAACTCTCCAGAAAATGCTTCCGCAACCTCCGATGCGGAAGCTTCAACATCAGCACCAGATGACGCTTATCCGGAGGTGCCCGAGTTAGCTGGTAGCACTCGCCTGCTGCGCTACCTGCAAGGTTTTGATTACGATGCCACAGCCGCCAACAACGCCTATCGACGCCACATGAAGTGGAGAGAAGAAATGAGTCTTAATTCGGACAAGAGGAGAACAGTTGTGGTACGTGCAACTCGAGAACCAAACGTTTAAGGCTTGGCTTGTCGTCCTTTACTTGTCTCCTACCATCTGAATTGTAAACGAATGAATTTGCTCTTCTTCTAGTTGCTTTTGTTTTCGTGGGTGTTAGTATCTCGGCCTTCGTTTCTTTTCGTTCTGCGGTTGCTTCTGAAGGAATCAATGCTGTTGCCCATGAGACCTGAGGCCTCCCCGAAGCATGCAGAAGTCACCCGGTTTTTTTCCACCAATCCCGTGCTGCGCCGTGACGGGGGAAGAGGCCCTAGCTTGGACGCTTGTGCCGCAGCTGCTGCTGCAGCCAGTGCACCGGGGGGGGGAAACAGTTTGTTGCAAGCCCTTAGTGACAAGGCGTTAGATTCGGTGATTCTAGATAAACAAGGGAACATAATTTCAATAGAGCGGCCAGGTCAGACTGCTTATTCCTATCAGCAGTAACTGAGTTTGTGAACCAGAAAAGGCTGTTTCTCACCCAATGCTTCGATATGTGACGGACAGATATGGACGTAGGGACGGATAGAGGGAGCAGGGATAGAGAAGGCCAACTGTTGGCGTCCATTTTGGTGGTGGCGTCCAGCTGTGTTTCTCTTTAAAGTTTGGTGTGAATTTAGCGGTCGTCTACAAGGAGCGGCCTGCGGATGATTTGCGCGTTTCGGATGGGGAGCGGTTTTTTCAATCCGCGGGCTGCGTGTGTGCAGGACTGCTTGATGTAAACGGTTTGTTTTCGGCGGTTTCGGAAGAAGAGTTTTTGGGGTGGCATTCGGATATTTTGGAGTTTCGTTGCATGCTTCTTGACGTGTAGGTTTGGGACGATCTCGAAAGAATCCGCACGCTTAGTGGCTTTCGTCAGTTGACACTGTGCGGAGCGAATTGCAGTTAACTGGGCCAACACAGGCAGTGGAGTAATGAAGCTTACTGAGCAAGATGGACTTCATGTTTAAACCCCTTACTCTTGTGTTGTGGATGCAGGTTGTCTCGCAAGTTTAACAGAATGGTCCGTGTAACTGCAGTTGTCGACTTGCAGGGCCTCTCGACGCGGATTTTGAACCGGCGAGCTCTCAAGTGGGGAGATGGATTCCGAATTCAACTGTGGCGATTTTTGGAAAGTGTTTAGATGTGTGTATGTTTATATGCATGGACTTATTAATATCTGCATATACGTTCTGCTTACAAGTATTCCTTGTATCTGGGCCGCTTTGCTTCATGCACCATTACTTTTTCTTGCGATCTTTTTCAGTTTGCTGAGAAGGACAATTAGTTCTGCGAGTGAAAACTACCCGGAATCCATTGGCACGATGTACTTCATCAACACTCCCCGCACGTTTTCGACTCTCTGGTCTGCCATCCGCGGATGGCTAAGGGAGAGGACTATCAACAAGATCAAGCTCTTGAGTAAGTTGCAAGCCATGTAGAAGTTGCCTTCCGCCACTTCGTAGGATGATGCCTCTGGAGTCTAAAGTAAGATGGCGTATGACGCAAGCATTGTAGTTGGCACTCACTCGGTTGCAGGTGCTGAGTAGATCCTTAGTTTCTGTTGGTTGCTCACAGGCAGCGACGCGGAAAGTGTTCTAGTGAGGAACATTGGGGGTTACGCGCTGCCTCCCTCTCTGGGTGGTATATGCACGTCTTCGTTGGCCGACGTCCCTCCACTGTGAGGCGATGCATGCGTCTGCGCCGTATGCGTTTGGTACCATGGATTAGCGTTTCTACAGAACAAGCAGCTTGAAATTCCGTTTCCCCGCAGGAGGCTAATAAACAATATGCATTCTTGAATGAGCCGATTCGCATTTTGTTCAAGTTTGAGGGATGGTTTGTATTGCCGCTGCAGAGATACAGACTTAGGCCCAGGAAGTGTGATTCTTAATGTGGGGGCCAGGCGGTGTAGCCAAGCTGTGGAGCTGGTACGCTCACCCTCCAGAACCTTAATGGGAGATATGCCTGTATTTTTCTCAGAAACAACTCAGGCGGTGCAGCAACTGCAGCAGTGCGTATGCCTTCTCTAGCTACAGTCTGACCACTAGACATTACACTGCACGTCAGGAACAGTGGAGTGATAGTTCCTGTAGTTCATGGGCACCATCGGACCGCCTGTGTTAACTTGAGCAGATCCCTCAAAAATCTGTTGTGCAATGGGCTTGGGTCGCGGAAGACTTTGATGTGGGGTTCAGCGCGATTTGGAGGTCTCAGGTAAGTTGGGAGGAAGGCCACCAGTGCAGACTTTGAAGGGGAACGGCATTTCGTGGTCTCTTGATGTACGCATCAAAATTTTGTCATTTTGGGGGTCGTGGAATTGCAATCCGGAAACGAGAACACCGCAAATACCCTCCCCGCAAGTGAGCTCCTCTATTCGGCTTCGGCATCATAAATCTTTTGGTATTGCATGCCTGGTCTCTTATTCGTGCAACTGCAGTCCGGAAACGAGAGCATTCTTGAGGAGCACCGCAAATACCCACCCCGCAAGTGAGCTGCTCTAATCGGCTTCGACATCATGACACCCCTTCTATCTGTGTTGCATTGCTTCCAGAACGCTTGTCGAGTGCTAACCTTAGTTGCCGTTTACCCATTGCTGCTGAAAATTAGCATTTACGCATTCTCTATTCACGCCATCCAAAATTGGTGGATGTGTCAGGCGAGTGAGCGGCGTTGTTAGCGCGGAACAAGAGGGCACTTTGATCCTCTCCTTTGATAACTCTTGGGGACTAATATCCTCTCGGCGTGTCCGGTATAAGGTAAGGCGAGCTACTAACTGTTCGCTCTACTTTTAATCTGAGTTTGAATTTTTTAGTAAGCAAGAACAGGAGCTGTCGGGTGCTGAAGTTTTACCGGCAAGCTTTGCCAACGAACAAGAAGCACGCTAAATGAATATCTGCGCCTAACGCTATTTCTTATCCGTCCTGCAGATCGAAGTCGTGCAAGCATCAGACGCAGTCCCATTGCACAGTTGCGCAGAAGCTGCGAACGTCGTATGAGGGAGGTGCGTGTGCACGTTGTGACGGTGTAGAAGTGCATGGGCCCGCTCTTTATGGAGAGGCATGACAGGGCCAAACCCGCAACGTGAAGTGCCCTTTCTGGAGAGCCTGTACATTTTATAATCTGCACTAGTCATATGCGAGCTTCTCTAGAACGCATACGCTCTTTTGATTAGGCTTCAACTCCCGGCCAGTCCGTTGCCTTCATATGAAGGCTTCCATACTTTGACGCATATGTAACTCCGAACTTTCTTCCTTTAAGGCGGCGCCTTTCATTCGCTCATGCCAATTAATGATTATTGAAGTAGATGATCTATTGCTGCTCTTATGAGTTTGCGGCAATTGCCAGTTTGTAAACTGTCTATTCTACACATTTCTAGGACAGAGCATCCAAATGTGGACCAAATATACAGGCGAATAGTACGCATTGATCGTGCTGTTGTGACGGCCAGCTGTGCGCGATGCGAATATTCTAGCATTTTCGTTTGAAGCTCTCGAGTTGCATTTGATGTGCATGGAAAAGGTTGGAGGTAGGTGAAGGCCGAGGCAGCGAAGGCAGCTTAAGAGGGGCTAGTGTTGGGCATTGGTACAAGCATCGACTGGGCTGCTGAAATCGTAAAGCGAGCTGCTAAAATTTCGCAAGTTTCTTCTAGGGGACGAGGTGTCCGCTTAAGAAGCTGCCTGAAGCAGGCAGAGGAAGCAGTCGCTATAGGAACGCGCACAATCGTTCCTACATGCGTGGCATCGCTTTGACCCATGGAAAGCATGTAGGAAGGCTGGTGGGGTCTACCTTCGGATCTTCGCTCGTTGCTGAGGAATCCTTGATTTCGGCTTCTCTCTTTTTCCAAACAAAGTGTTTCCATTCATGTTTCTCTAGCTGTCGGATTGCGCGTCAATCTAATGGCATTTTCCGGCAACAGCTCCACAGCTGTTGCTGGGGTTTGGATCCTCGGGCTACAAGCAGCCGCATAAACGTAGGAGAAGGTCCTTGTCATACTTTGGCGCTTCAGCTTCAGGGCGGCGAGCTCTTGATTTGTACCACCGTGGGGCTTCCCCATCAACGCGTTTCTGCGGATGAGCATTCGCATATTCCTTCTCAAGTTTGCGTGCCTGGTACCCAGTGCCATACTTGTAGGACTCAAAAACAAAACCTAGAAACTCTATTCTTTCGGGATGCACCTTTTCTAGTTCCTGGTCACTGCGTGAAAGCAGGCTTTTCCTCCGTGCTTCAGCTTCTGCTTCCTCAGGGGTCAGTTCTTTCTTTACTGGAAAAGGCGTTATAAGGTCCCCTGCGTCAATACCCTGCAGCTTTCTCTCTACACGCTGCATCAGCCTTTCCTCGTAGGTGACTTCAAAAAGTGGGTACGGAAGATCTTCCTGAGCCGCGATGTACACGGCACGCGCCGTAGCAACCTTCTGACGCTGCTCTCTAATCATTTGGATATAGCTGTCCGCCACGTTGGTTTCCCGCACTACGCAGTCCGGCTGGACGAGCGAAGTGCCTACTTGTTGTTCTAACCACTCCCGAAAGGCGTACGAAGCCTCTAATTCAATCTCACACGTGTTTTGAGTCAGTTGAAGGGAAAAGTTGACATGACGTGCGTGATGGTGGAGACAGCACGCTGCCATACCTTTCGAGTATTGAGGAACAGAATCATTCGCCGTCCGTGTGAGAGAAAAACATGTTTCTAGTGACAATGGCATTTCTTTGTTGCGGATCTCGATGTTTTCACAGGCACGATTGTATAACCACCTCCACGAGGAATATTTCTCGTCTAGCAAGAAAGCAATCATGAGTTGCGTGGTGCCAAGGCGAACTTCTGCAGGCACAAGGGCATGAAGTTCTACCTTTGACGGCAGCTCGGAGCTCCTCGTTCCTGTCGTTAGTCCAGAGGAAAGGTTGAAAAACTTGGGTTTTGGGGGGCTCATTCCTTCATCAGGGCCTTCTTCCCAAGCGGGCAGTCTCTTCTCCACACGGTCCATTGTAACGAAAAAAGAATGTATCACTGAAGAGGTCGGCAGTGTGTAGGGAGAACAGGAGGGCTCGTAACACTCTTGCTTTGGCGGCAATCGGCTGTGGTCACCTGCGACGATCGGAGAAGTCCTGCAAAAATACGCTTGCTGGTGTTTGAAACGAATTAAAAACCTAGAGAAAGATATTACCGGCAACAAAATCAATCCAAACAAAAAATTGAAATTTGCAGAGCAATTGTTTGCCGAAGACGATGATGCACAATGTGCGGCCGAGCCGCTCGTTGCCTGCGCTGCCGCTAGCGCCATCAAGAGGGGTAGAGCCTAGCGGTCCATTTGGCTTGCTCCCGTGACCATGGAATAAAGACACAGTTTCACTGCTATTTGGCTACTTCCTAATTACTACTGAATTGCATTAGAAGTTCCTTCAAGTGGGCTCTACGCACTATGCTTACTCTCGCAAACCAGTGCCCATTCCTGTCTACTGTCGATTCTGTCTTTCATCGAGGCTTATCTATCGTTTTGTGGACCTTCTATGCATGTCTACTTGCCCGACAAAGTAAGACATGGAAATGTATCTGGAGATACATCTTATTTTTGACGTTTCAACACTTAGCCTTAGACGAGGCAACTCGAACTTCTCCAAGCCACAACGCGCGCCGCCAGCGTGTGCGTAGGCTTTCCTGCTCCCCAGACACCCGGACGCCAATCCGCGATGTGTGAACTAGCTTTACCCATATCGCATTTCATGAATGTTCTACATGGGCTGAGCAAGCCTGTTCCGCGCATGCGTAGAGGCTTCTCAGAATGTCCTGCCTACTATGTCGGCCCACATCTGTGGGTGAGTGAGTCATGAAATTCCCCGGTGAATGCACCCTCAAGTGAAGCCCCTCGACGATAGAGAATTCGGCACAAATAGAAGTGATTATGCAACCGTTGACCGGAAAATGGCTAGATAGCTAGCTATGTAGCTAGCTAGCTAGCTACCTGGCTGCCTCCGAGGTAGCCGGCTTAGTTCCCTTCATGTGCTTCCCATTACGCAGACTGCTAGGTAGCTACCCAGCTAGCTAGCTGGCTAGCTAGCTAGCTGGCTAGCTAGCTAGCCAGCCAACTAGCTAGCACTCTCGCCGCCTAAGCAAACAGATTTCCGCATGCGACTCGGCCCGCGCGAAGTCATTGGCATACGCAAGCATTGGCAGTGGGCGCTTGGCCTGAGGAAGGCGGACAGACTACTCATGCCTTCACTGTGTACAAATGACCAGCGACTTCGGGCATCCACCTGAAGCAAAAACCAGATATTGCTTGGTTAGAAGGCGCGTACACCCAAAAAGCGTTCAAGGGGTCACACCAGGAAGGCCGGGCTACACCACCATGTTACACTGCGAGACACAAAACCGTGGCTGTTCAAATAATTATCTTTACGTGCGTGCTATGCATGTTAGAAAACCAGTGGAGGGGTTTTATAGCACAGCGGCAGCGCACTGTGATTCAATAGCTGTCACTTGTTGCATGTAGACGCAGCCGTCTCGCATGAAGGCCTGAAGAACACACACGCACGTGAGAAGCGTAACTGCAAAGAAAAATCTTAGCCAATATGAATTAATAAGCTCCGCATTGAACGGGTTTGGCCTGACTTCAGCAGGGGTCGGCATACCTGTCCGTACACCACAAATGATGGCCGGCAGTTTGCCAGGACAGAAGACGGATGAATTACAAAAGGAGGAGCAGTTGCCGAAGCAGGGCTGAAAACCGCAATACAGAGAACATCTAAGCCCCGGACCCAAAAGCCTACATAAAGGCGTCCACAAGCAAGGCAACAGCAAATACGGAAGCTAGGCTAGTGTCGGTGTTGTGCGAGCGTTTTAGGATTGATAGAAGTACAAGAGCGTGGAAGCTCAAAAAGCCGCATATTTGAGATTCTTTTTCACCCTCACAGTCTGTATAGCCGATATTTATGTCTGTGCGTTCTCTGGGCCACGTTGAGGCAGAAGGCGGCGGCCAGTGCCCTGAGAAGAGGTTTGCAATCCCCCTCGCAGCTCAGCTGCAATGCATCGCAGGAGTAAAGTTGCCGTCCAGTTGGGTGAGGGCAAGCGTATTCCAGAGTATGCTAACGCGCTGGGACCCCCTACAAATCGGTCTACTATTTAATAGAGCATTTGAAACCGCCAGAGCGTAGTGAACCACTTATCCTCTAAAGCATGTGCCCTGAATCTCAGGTACCCAACGGTAGACAGGGCCAGACTCACGCGGGGCAGTTGGCAGCGCTGCATCCATTGAAGCATCGCCTTGTGCATAGTTGCGGCTCTGGCCATAACGCTTTCATCAACGAGGTGCCTCTCCGCCCACCTGGAGGCGGCTTCAGGCCCTTCGGTCCTTTTCACGTCCAAGTAGATGTTGAAGACATTCAAAGCCGTCAACGGGTCTCCCTCTACGGCCCCCAGCACGGCCTGAGACAGCGTCAGCCGCTGTCGTGCTGCAGATGCTCTTGGACACCTTCCTTCCTGCGCGGCCCCCTTGGCTGAGAAGCAGCAGTTCTCCAATGCAGACCGCTGCCACACGGGGGGCCCGCTGAGAAGGGCGCACAGAGCTGCAGCCTCGATCGAGCAACCAAACGCCTGACAGCACGAATCCAGCACACGCAACAGCTGTTGGTGCCCACCGCTGCTGCTTTCCAGGGAAACCACAACAGTCATTGCAACCGACCTGCCACCACAAAACCAAGGGCAGACCCTCTGGGTAATCTACCCAGGGGTGCCAGAAGCTACTACAGGATCCGCTATTACTGCTCGTTGCTACTGCTGCTGCTCTTCTGCTGCTGCTACTCTGTGAGAGCCCTATGGAACGCCCCCCGCTCACCTTGTCCGCAGCAATGAGAAGCAGGCGGGTCAATTCCGGGGAAAGTACCCCTTGAGCCATCATCCACCCCAGGGGTTTGGTTACGCGCCCGCTTGCGTCTACTGCCTGCAGCTCGAATAGGTGTTCCGCTGCTGCCGCAATAGCAGCAGCAGGTGGGGGCTGCAGCAGCGGCAGCCGCTGCAGGGAATGCGTGCCAAACGCCTTGAGCCGCAGCAGCAGAGGTGCAATGTCCTCCAGGGCAGAAGGAGAAAACTCCTGATACGAGTTCCCATGGGTATCGGCGTAAGCCGTTGCCAGAGCAGCAGAACCCCGGCAACAAGTAGCAGCAAAGGCATCGGCTGTACAGAGTCTGAAACAGCAGCCCCCCTTGCTAACCCTTCCCGCTAGAGAGGCCCGCAGATCCGCTAGGGCCCCACTGATGGGAACATTGCAGATCCTTTTCAGCCGCAAAAAGGAATCGAATACAGTCTTGCGGCTGTACAGGCAGTCCACGACGAACTTGACAGGCAGCTCATGAGGCGGCACGCAAGGTGGAAAAGCAGCATAAGAGATAAAAACGCGCAGCGTTGAAGAGGGAGGAGGCAACGAAGGGCTCAAATCTGTACGCCACAAACCCACAGAAAACACATCGTTTCGCACATGGAAACCTAATATCCATCCATTGTATGTATTTTCGTGCGCGCTTACTGCAGAAAGACATGGGAGAAAATTCCCTAGGAATAACCGACGACCCGAAGAAGGGCGATAAAACACTACGGGGGTTGTTCGAAGGTTTGAAGAAGATAAGCGGCGGAAAACGGAAAGGGACGCCTCCGCAAGAAGCTCATGTTCGTACCTGGGGCGAGGCACACAATCTCCACTGGGCGTGGGGAACACTCTCCCTCTTGTTGTTGGGGCTGATGCTGCTTCAATACGTGCCGCAGATGTTGCTGCAGCGCCTCTGTTAGAGCTGTGACATCTTCGAGCGACGGTACAAACACAAAAATGGAGCCGAACGCGGAAGAGCCGTAAGGGGCCTCCGCAGCAGAAGAAACAAGCCGAGACACTGCAGCACAAGCCATGCACAAGAACAGCAGCAACAACTGCAACAGCAGCAGCGGTAACACCTGGACGCGTTGAGCAGCCCGAACAAAGAGCAGAAGCAGATGCTCGTTCACGATATCAGCAAGGGCCTCGAATCAGGGGAAAGGAAAGGACAGACACAGGAGCAGCACGGCATTCAACGACAGGAGGCAGCAGCAGCTGCTGCGGGGACCCACCAACAGCTGCAGCTGTGCGGATATAGTTTGGTGTGGGACTTTTGAGGTAGCGGATGGCAACAGGCTGAGTTGGCGGGGTGAGAGAAAGTACAGTGACTGTCGAGAGAGATCCCTTAGTAACAGGGGACGCTTCAGGGGAACCATGGGCCATGGGGGGCATTGCAGGCACCGATGACTTGCTGTGATTGGTATGTCTGCAGAATCTGAGGGGCTGTGGACAGCTGGGCTTCTCTGTGGCTTCGTCATCTCCCTCTGTCATGTGTGGGGAGGATTCTGCCCGACGCACTGGGGAGGCCTCTTCGCCGCTGCTCCCCTCTGGCTGTACTGCATGCGAAGCCTCATCAACGAATTGCGCTTGTCCCCTTGCGGCGGCCAGCGTATCCGTCTGCATGCAAATGGCTCCTTCGGCTAACAAGTTGCGGGTGCTTCCGCTCTTGGTGCTGCTGCAGATTTTGTCAAGCTTCCTCTGTATTTTGCTGAGGCGCTGTTGCAGCTTCTTCTTGTCTTTCCTTTTGGGTTTTTTGCGCTTGCAGAGCCGCCCCTGTGGGCCTTGACCTTGAGCTACAGTGACGCCTAAAACCATTACTTCATCGGAGGAGATGCACGATACGCCGCTGCTGCTTCTGCTGCTCCTGCTCGTGCTACTACTGGTTATTTCTAACAGTTCGATGCTGTTTATGGCGCGTGGTAGCGATGGTTTGGCTGTTGCTGCTGCCCCGGAGTTTGCGCCCAAAGAAAGGCGCATGTCCTTTACTTCCTGTTGCATTTTTTGTTTGTGGTGCCGATGCTTCACATCCCAACGGCCTCCCCTGGGCGTGAGGAAGCGTAGCAGCAGCTCCTGCTGCTGCGCTGCAGCCCGAAGGACCTCCAGCGAGCCCTGGGGCATCACTGCAGCTCCCGGCGCCGCTGGATCATCACCCGCTGCGAAAAACTCAGCCAATTGAAGGGCCCAGTACGGTTGTACACCTGCAGGAGGCAGCAGAAGGAGTAGCCGTAGCGCAGGCCTCTTCTGGTGCACTTTTTGCAACAGAGGGAGAAGCAGCTCGGTGCTAAAGCTGTGCAGTAACGACACCTCCACTGCTGCGGCACAGCAGCCAGGCAGCAACGGTTGCTGCAGAAGTCTTTGCAGCAGCTGCTTGGCTGTAAGGTACACAATGCGGGGCGGAGAGCTGCCTTCCTTGTTCAGGCTGCTGTTGCCTCGTAGGATGCTTCGGTGTGTGGTAATGCACGAGGCGTAACAGCCGCCTCCCCAAGCCTTCGCCAGCGCAGCAGCAGAATCTACTGAAGAGCTCGTCTCCAAAGCCACTAGGATGTGCTGCTGTTGCGAGGGACAGTGGGTGGTCTGTGGGGCCCAGCCGTGCTGCAGCAGCAGCAGTGGCAGAAGCACGGAGCAGCGCAGAGCTGCCGACCCCTCGGCTCCCCCTAGCAGCAGAACGACTCCTGAATTCTCCGCGGATGCAAGCACTGGAAGCTGCCGCTGCTGCCACCAGTTGAGACAGGGGCCCTCAGCAGCACTAGTATGAGTAGCAGCAGGTGCTGCTGCCGCTGAAGCGTCCTCATCCATCACCGGGACCCCCACCTACTCACCTTCTGCAGCGCTTACGACGCCCCCATTTCCGGATGTCCTTCCTTACGGCTGCCTCAGATTCTAGATGTTGGTGTACTGCCGGTTCTGCATGTGTGGTAGTTGCTGCTGCACCGCAAGACCTTGCGAGAGAAGATGTTCCGCGCGGTGCCTCTGTAGTCGTCAAAGGCCCCTCGATATGAACGCATATAGAGTTACCAGAGAAAAGCATGACGTTCAAAGAACGGTCGCTCATGGCTTCCAAGGGTCCCCGCTGAGTTTCTGCCGTGGGGCCCCTGGCACCCTGAGCCCCAGGGGCCCCCGAGCGGCGTTTTTCGATGTTTTGGGTGTAAGAGTCTCAATATCTTGGGGGTGCAAACGCAGACGTCATTATTTTCTTGTGATCGGTCTGTAAGGTATTATGCTCCCGTCATTAGAACAGCTTTTCCACTCTGCTTCGTCGGGTCTTCTGTGCTTGGGACCTCCGCGCGCCATAGCGCAACGCTTCTCATCCAGCTGGTTTGACTTCTGTCCAGCAGCAGCCGCCTGCTGAGTGAAAGAACGAGTGGGACGTCCACGTTAACAATCGAACCGTGCAGGCGGCAGGCACTGTCATCTCAATGTCTGAAACCTCGGGAGGGACCCCCGATCTTCAAGGGGCTTCTGGGAAACCCTTTCAAGATGAAGGCGGGGCACAGCAGCTCTTTCCGCCCGCCAGCCACTGCCACCCCATGTCTGTGTTCTTGACGCCTCAGTACCGCAATTTGTCGTTGTTTGGTGTGACGGCCGAAGAAGACGCGCAAATACACGCCGAGGTCGTGCAGCAAATCAAGGCCCAGAGAGCAGTTGAAAAGTTCATCAACGACGGCTGTCTCCTCAGGGCAGCGACCACAAGCGTGGGGGGCGGCCTCCTGGGTAAGCCGCATCGTCGTGAGTGCCGCAGTTACCTGGCTTCAAGGGCCGATGGTTCGGGCTCTAGAACCTCACCGGCCGAAACATTAGCGGGACCTCCAGGACCTGTGCCTAAGGGCCTCTTGACATCGGAGTTGTGAGGCCCAGGGTTAGGTGTCCATACCGCTTCAGGCGTGCAGCCGTTTAGGCGTGGTCCCAAACTAGCACCAGTTTTCCTGTGCAGGGTGCCCACTATTTGTCTTCCGAGTGAAAACGTGCTAAACCAGCTGCTTCTTGAGCAAATATCCTTATCCGTTACTGCGCCTGCTGCGGGGCTCCTCAGCTCTTACCCCGGTGCAGCAAGAGCCGATGTCCAGCTATGCAGTCTCAGCAGCTAGGCCCCCCCATTTATTGCTGCCTAGTGTGGCCTTCTGCTGCTGTGTTTTTTGTGTGTTGTGATGCCTTTTGTTGCTCTGCATTGTGCCCAATGTTGTGCTGCGTTGTTTTGCGATGTGCTGCGCAATGTTGGGTTCTCCTGTGTTGCGTTGCGCTGTTTTAAGTGGCATTGTTGCGCTGCATGGTATTGCGTCGGGTTACGTGCTGTGTTGTGTTGTGCTGTGCTGTTGTGCAAGGTATTCTATTGCGTTATGCGGCGCTGAGTTATGTTGTGATTTGTTTTATGGTGCTGTACTGCTCAGTATTGTGCTATATTGTGTTGTGTTTGGCAGGGATTGTACTTGGTGCTTTTTTCTTCACGATGAAGCCTGTAGACGTGGACAGCTCTTTGGGATTGCGGGCGCAGATCAGGCAGCAGTACAAGTCCTTTATACCGGATGTCGCCGCGACAGCCAAGAACTTTGCAAAAATTGGGGGCCTCTATTCCCTCTTTGAGTGCGCCGTTGACAAGGTGAGATGTACGGAGACTATAGGCTTTCATGAACAGACGACTCTGCCTTTAAGCCGTGACCTGGCCAGCGTTTTTTGTCGTCGCCCTGTTGGGGGAATCTCCTTGTCTCTTTTTGCTTGTTTGCTGCCTACTCTCTCCTCCTTGTTTTCTTGTTCCTTAGTCGTTGCCGCATGGCCTTGCCACTCAAGCTGCTTCACGGGGCTAGCTGTACGGTGCATCGTTTCGCGTCTCACTCAGGCAAGAGCAACCCACGACTTGCGCGGAGCCATTTATGGCGGTTGCTTGACGGGCGCCGCATTGGCTGTCAGAGGTAAGTATTTTGATTCGCTTGGCCATCAACTCGAATACTTAAAATGGGCCCTCCTCAACCTAAACACGCTTGCATTCCTTAAATGGCACTGAAACCCCGACGACCCGCTGACACGAAAAATCCGTTTCGAGGTCTTATATTTTCAAGTTGAGAGCAGCTCAGACGTGGGGACTGTGCCATTACTGTTTCGTTGTCTACACTAAAGCAAAACTTACAACAGCCTTCCCCGCTGATGGTGCAACCTGTGCCCCTGCAGGAGGGCCGCGGGCAATGGCAGTGGGCAGTCTTGGTTTTGGAGCCTTCGCGGCAGCCATGGAGATGCTGCAACCGTTGATCGGCTTCGATGTTTGATTTGGTGGATGCGTAGAAGCAGATGACGGGAGACAGCTGCCGATGTTCGTGGCTTGCTGGCCTGTCCAACGGACCAAGGTCGGTCTGATGCCTTTCAGCGTCGGTGCGCAGCCACTTTATCTGCTGGCCTCTACCATTGAGGACCTGAAGTTTACGCTCTTCTTTTTTTTGGCAGAACAAATGCAAACATCTCGCTTACAACGCAAGACTCATCGTTTCCAGTGCGTGGCCTTGGGGTCGGGGAGCCACCTGTTAGAAGCATTCCACAACTAAAGCAAAGGCATGTTCTTGACTCTTGCTGCAGCAACAGCGTCAGCAACAGTAGCAGCCACAACAGCAGCAGGATTGACAAGGGGCAAGCAAACCTGTAGCATGCTGTCAAGCCCCTTCGATGATAAGTGCCCTGCTGGTGCTCAGCCCCGTCGTAGATAGCTGCAAAATTCAAGCATATGCGCACGCATCCCAAAGTGCGGCCCTGGGTGTTCCTGCTGCTGCGGATGTTTCTGCTGTCAGTGCCGTTTCTGCTGTCCAAACAAGTTATTCCGCCCTAGCAAATTCTCACCTTCAACTAAAGGCTTCCCGTTAGCGTCAGTCTTTATGCCTGCAGCGCCGCACAGAGGGGGACTGGCGACACGCGGCAACTGCACCTTGTTCTGCTTGTTGCTGTGCCTCTGGGAGCATTCGCTAATCAGGCAGTTGTGTGAATGCTCCTTTTCGCTGCTGTCTTCGCAGCTGCTGTGTAGTGTTTCTGCCGGTGTTACTGCTGCTTTTTTTGGTGCCGCTGCTGCAGTACCAGGGTGGGCTCGCCCACTGCGGTCCTTCTTACCTGCTAGTTCCTCAGGGTACAGCCAGCGGTTGGCCCAGAGGTCCAACAAACGCTTGGGCGGTTGTGGGGGAGGGTCGTCCTGTGGCAGATGAAGACATTACATGCACAGGAAACAGAGCCTCAAACTCGGAAAGGACTCCCTAACTAGATTCGAGCTAAGTACAGCATATGCCCCAAGCTTGCACGTATGCATGCATGCAGGGATGTGCTGAATGCATGCACACAAAATGCATCTGCGCATGCATAATTACAAAGCGGAAACCGGTGAAGAGGCAATGGGGGATGGGGGAGCTGGAAATACCTTCATTTGAACGTCGACTTCAATTTCCTGGACTCGGATCAAAGTCACCCAGTGGCGAATTCTGTGAAACCAAACAGAAACCTGCTGAGGAAGGAAAGTAACGATAAAATTGAAACAAAGAGATAGGCACCTACTCTAGATGCGGGTGCTGCCCATGTCCTTCCCATGCTCATTTTCGCCGGGAGCCCTACACGGCTCTACGCCTTGCTCGCAGGCGAGAGGGGGGGCCACGGATCTACCAAGCATAGCCAGTGAAGGCTAAGGATCTGTGTAGATCTCTGGGGCAAGAATACGAGCCACACTACAATACATGCATGTGTCTGCGCTCAGAGATTGTGTTGTCTTCAACTTTTTCCTTTGTGCTATTTGCCCTCTATTTGCAACGCTGATTCTATATTGCTCTGTCCCATTATTGCGCCCAGAGGCGTCCGCTTGCCTGAGAAAGCGAGAAGAGCGCCGCGTCTTCTTGTAGCGGAAGCTCAGCGTCTCCCCAGCCAAAGTCTGGAGAGCACATTCGACAGCAGCTTAGCCTCGGCCGGGCTCTCAACAACCATTTATAAGGAGAGCCAATACTATTATGTCTACGTGCTCACTTCCCGCTTCACTTAATCCTTGATGTGCTCATGTCCTCATCAATTTCAGTGGGCCTCTGCTTGCGGCTTGCTAGTACTCCGCTGACTACTCACCTGCTGTTCAATGACGCCCTTCACTCGTGCAAACGGAACCCTGAAGCGCTCCAAACACCCCAGCCACAGAGCCTTCAAACCCTGAACCCGACTAAACATCTCACTCAACCCACGCAAACCCTTTGCTGTGCGGCTTCTCCACTGATATATAATTCCGGCTTCACCACAGAGCGGTGCTTTGGGAGCTGCAAAGCTCCCCAAGCACCAAAGCACCCCATAGAGCGATGCTTTGGTAGCGGCATGTATTAGTGCATGGATGCATGCATGCGCACGTCGGCTTGCCGAGTAAAGTCCACTCCCGAGTGCCGACCAGGAGGACCGTTCCAAACACAACTTTATCGCCTGCGCCATACACTAAGTCGAAGGATTTCAGCCCTCACGCATGCGAAAAAATGTGTATGCGCATGTCTAGATGCATCGTTGCATCGTATGTGCATGCATGTGTTAACCGCCACGTGTGGAATTAGGCGTGCAATTATGCGCTTCTCCGCGTCTTGCGTGTATACGTAAGTATTGACGCGCGTAGAGATACATGCATCTCAATGTGCATGCACACCCAAGTACAGAGACGAAACTCGTACAAGCCTTGGGTATGGCAGAACACGCTTATAGCAGCATAAAACTCTCACCAGCCTGCTTCCTGTGCAGCTTCTCAGTCTGGACGAGGTCCCCCACTGTCACCTGCAGGGCAGCACCACTCTCACAGCTCCGTCTAGACTCAACATTGTCTGCCTACTGCCTACGAGAAATCCTACGCGCTCCTCCCAAAGCGCAAGTCAGGCTGCTATTGCTGCTGCTGCTTGGGGGGCGATCGTGCCTTGTGCTGCGCAGAGACGCTGCTTTTGAAGACGCAAAATATTTCCTTCGGGTCATAGGAAAGGCAGAAGGGAGGCCTTTCTCCGTAAGTGCCTTGAAGCCTTCGGAATGCGCCCACACAGTCCGCTGTTGCTGTCAACTGCTGCTGCACATGCTGCTGCTCCTGTTTCTGCTGTTGCTGTGGGTCGTGCTGCTCGCGTAGGTCTTGTTTCTGCTGCGGGTGTTGCTGCCCCTCTTGCTTTGTGTGTTCCTGCTGCCCATGTGCCCTGCTAGCGCAAGTGTGCTCCTGCGGAGCGGCGGCCCTCCGCCTGCCGAGTTTAGGGTGCTTTGGGGGCCCCTCATGGGCCTCCGAGCCCCCTGCCGGACGCCCCATCTGCGGGTGAAGGAAGAGTAGCCATGAGGGCTCTGGCTGTGGCTGACACGCCAAATGCTGTCGCCACTTCCGCGCAATGCAAAATTTCTTCCGTGATTGCCTGAGAGAAAAACGGCAGGCAGCAGCAATATGCCCCAAAAGCTCGCCCCCAAACCCCTCGGCGCAGCTCAGATCTAGAATTCCTGCCCTATTTAGCGATCAGGGCTTTTGGCTAAACTGTTACCTACGATTTAGGGCATACCACACACATTGAGAGCTTTGGTGTAGGCAAGGATTGTGGGTCTACAGCCTGCTACGTATAGTGTTGATAAAAGGACTGGCCTGTCGGGCCTTAAAATTAGACTAACGGCTACTGCTTAGCCCCTAAGGGCTAAAGTTTTCGGCATAAATAATGGCTGGAGTTGCAAGCGTAAGTCAGGTGTAGGCTATAACACATCACGAATGGCCAGGTTCTCGTTCTGCATGCGTTTACCGCGTGGTTCGCTTCCAGCGCAGCTGTAGGTCTCTATAGGCTTCAAAGAGAGTCATGTCTTGCTGGGGCGCAGCCGGAGTCGTGACCCCAGGGGCTGCGCGTTGGGCAGCCGCTGCTGCGGCAGCGGCAGAAGGATGAAGTGGAACCTTGGGAGGCAGCAAACGGCGCTTCCTGTGTTTCCCCGCCATTATTTCCTTCAGCGTACAGGGGACACATTTCAACAGCAAAGCTCCAAGCATACGCCGCAGGCCGGCTACTGGGGCCCACTTCGAGTTTTCATGGCACATGCCGACAAATATAAATATATCTTATATGCACAACATATATACATATACGTATATATATATATATATATATATGCATATATATATATATATATATATATCACTAAATCTCCGGGACAAAACCTTCTACCAGCGTGGAACATGAGCAGGGATACAAGGCCCGTGAGATTTGGAGACAACCACGAAGGTGCAGCAATGCAGCGGAACGTACGAGGCGGTGGCCAACAACTTTTCGTTGTGGGTGAAACGTTAGGGAACGAACAGGCCCACCAAAGGAACTCGGGACAGAAAACCGCAAGGGAGAGCATTCGTAGAGAGGTTGCTGTGAACATCCCCAAGTAGGAGGGAAGACCATTAACGACGCAAAACTGTGCCTTGCACTGAGCTGCTGTAGCTGCATCTGTTGCTTCTGTTGCTGCAGTCGTTGAGCAGTTATAGGGGGGGAAAGCCGCTTACAAATAGAGCCTAGAGCGCCGCCGCATCCCACAGCTGCGCCCCTGGTGATAAGCATCTTCTAGTCTTTTTCTGGGGTGAACTGTAAGCTGGGGATTGGGCGATACAGCTTGAGTGGAAGGCCCTCTGTTGTGGGGCAACCCAAGGAGCGAAGCAAGTTATCTAAGTATCAGCAAAAAGCTCCAGGTGGCTTTTAGCTGATAGTGGAGGCTGCGCGGAGATAATGGGGAGACTTACGGCAGACACGGCTAATGCTAGTCCACTTGGGCCCCTAAGGGCCCCCGGTCCGTAGAAACTCATGCGAAGTGAAAGCCGCTGTACAGAGAGTGATAAGAAGTGCGAATGTTAATATATTTGTAAGAAGAAAGAATGCCAAAAGAAAGGCTCAGTAGGAAAAAAAGAGCGAGAAACGTCCGTCATGGTGTTGTTTGGCGTGCGCGGCCGCACTGGACCCAATGTAACGTCCTCACAGGAATGAGTTCACAACTTATGGCATTTTAGACTATTTTTTACATTTTTCTGTGTCAGGGAAGCCTTCAAATGTTGTTTCAGGCATATTATTTAAAGAAGAATGATCATGTTAGCGCAGTTATTCCTCGCGTTTCGTTGTCTGTTATTGGTAGAGGGGCTCGCCATTCTGTTTCCTTCGATGTCGTAGAGGGTGGCACACACCGTTTTCATCGCTACATCACTCTTCAGGGCTTTCCTATTATTTTAGTTACTCTTTGGCTGGATATCTTACAATAATGTATTGGAATAATGTGAAACCAGGGGGACAGGTTCACGCCACAATGACGGAGAGTGTGTTTGTTGGCGCTTCCTTCTCATCTTACGCCATTGCTACTACACATTCACTAATTAGAAAAATTATTCACTAAACTCATCTTACCCCATTGCTACGACGCATTCACTAATTAGAAAAATTATTCACTAAACGCTGAGGTGGCAGACCGTTCCGTGCAGGGAGCAACCCTAATTAATGTGCACTATTGCATTGACCCCCCGGTGAGATGCAAAACTTGAGTAACATCTAGCCATAACGGTGCCCCAGGATTTATGAAGTAAGCATGAGAAAACGGCATACCATATTCATATGGATCTGTACGTGTGTTAATCCGCGACTAACTATCTGCGTCTGTACTAACAGCCTCCACAGAGCAGAAACCGAAAACAATTTCCCTACATATATCCTTGCGGGCGTATGAATTAGCCTTTTTATCTCTGGACTGCCATAATACTAGGATATATAATACTAGGATAATACTAGGGTTTACGGTTGAAGCAGAAGAAAACCGCTAGCAAATGCCGTGTGTTGCTTCCTACCAGGGTCAAGGAGCAACATTTAGCTCAGTGCGCTCCCCAGCAGCATCTAGTCTATTTTCTCTTGTTTGTCGGTTGCCGTTGCTTCTCACGCGCCTTATCAGAGCAGCTGGCACGTTAGAAGATCTCCGCCAATCGCACTCTCCAAGCAGACGCTTTTTTATCCCCCACAGGAGCACTCGGTCTAGTTTGCGCATTCTGCAGACACCCCATATCTATTGTGAGCTTGGGACCTTCACTTCTGACGAGTTCTCAGGGGTACATGCAAGCTCTTGGGAATAGTTCTCTTCAAAGGGTCGCGATCGACCCCACCGAATCCCTCTTCACGGTTGGGTGCGGCCAGGCATCCATTCAAGTCGACGACTAAACAAAAAGCCCGTTGTCCTCTCGGGGCCGAACGTTTTGTACTCATATAATGCAAAAACCATATGTGCGTGCACGGGCACATGCACTATCGTTAGCTGTGCAGCTGCCTGTGTATGAATGTTTCCATTGCCGCATTAGTACTCCTTCTGCTCCATACAGAAAGCGGTCGCTCGCAGTGAGCTGTGGGTCAGTGTAGGCACAGGCTAGAAGCTGCTATTTCAATTATACAGTCTCCAAAGTAAGCTCGCGCAAAAGCATTGCTCGTCTTCCGTCGCAAAATTAGCCGAATGCAAAGCGGCGAGTAAACCTTTCAGAGGAGTCCAATGGCTTTTGTGCAGGGCCGAACGGTTCGAAATTTTCATTGTCATTACTTCTAGACGTTCTAATGAGTCTAAGAAAGGGGCAGCTAGATAGTTGGGTGCGTCAAGCACTGTCCCTCTCGACCAGGTGGCAGGTTAGGCTCCTCACGCCTGCCCTTTGGAAGGGCAGGCGGGAGGCGGCAAACGAAGACTTCAGACGGTGAAACACAAAATGTTCCTTGAAAAGCCAACGCTTTAAACCTAGATTCAACGATCTGGCTGGCTGGCGTATTTGGCCCAACTTGGCGTTACGGTGCTGTGCTTGTGTTGTTAGGTACTGAGCCTTGCTCCCGTTGTTGCGTAGACTCTGCGGTATTGTTGTTGGTGAGCTCATTGTCGTTGTCGTAGTTATGAAAGTCGAGGGAAGGCGGCAACGGAAAGAAACAATTGATTATGCGAAAGGGGGACGCAGAGTTGAGTTCCTCTTTCGTCGATCCCACCCGACTCTGAATGCGTCTAATTTCAGGCCCTGCAGCCTCTAAACCGGCTATTTTGGCATCCAGAGTGCAGCGAACATCGAAGAGGCGGCAGGTAATGCGAGCCGCTGCTTCCGTGCGGGGACGAATGGGCGTGACCATCACTTGGTGCAGAGTTCTCAGAAGGGCTTGGTACTCAGCTGCCACTTCAGCTCGTCGCTGTTGCCGGATAGTCATCAGGCGTTCAACCTCTTCAATTTTATCCTGCACTTCTTTCTGCTTCGAGGCACGGACGACGATGCCCTCGAGAACAGATATGTAAAAGGCCGCCAAGTCTGAATCCCTTCTTTCCATCGCCCCGCAAATGTTGACAAGCAAATAGTCCTGCCGAACGACGCAAGGCTCTTGGAGTGCCTTCATTTTCTCGTGCAAGTGGGCCAATTCTTTCCGCCCGAAGGTGCGCAACAGATGATAATGATAGTCGTCGAGATTGCCGACGGCCACTGCCATCTGCAAGAGGAACTGGGCATACTCCATGTAGCTCGGAAAATCTTGCTGCAAAGGCAGCTTCTCGCTTCTACAGCGACCGGAGGAGCTGGACAGGTACATTGTAGTAGCTCCAGTACATTCAGCGTTGACCACGCCAATTTACCGCTTGGACTCACATGTGCCGAAGCCAAAAATGGGGAAGGTCCGTCAAACACTCACCACACAAAGATGCGCGTGGTGCTGGATGGTACTTCACCTATTTCATCCAGTTGGAAGAAGATGCCTTGTGCACGTGGACCGCTACCGTTGGTGCTGCAAGGACTAGGCGGTTAGCCCGTTTGCATTTCACCCTTCCTTCCTTGGAGACGACGAGGTCGAGCGCAACGCTTCAAATCGACAAACACTGCAAGATGGTCTTGGTAAACACGTTTGGCTCCCCTTCAACGCAAAAGTGGCTTGAGACAGCGGCCGGGTGTGACACGTGTAACAAGGACAGTGCTGCTGCACTTAGGGAGGGAACGCGAACGGAAAATAGCTTGCAAATCCTTTAAGACAATCAGGCTGCAGGATTTCTCGAGTAGCAATAGTTCAGGCCTTACCAACGGTGCGCCGGAGCAGGGTAAGCTAATACGCATCGAAAACTTGGGTGGCTCTCCCTGCAGCTGCTGGCGCTGTGCTCGCTGGCTGCAGAAACCATCATTTGTCGAGCCGATCCACCCTCTGCAGATTATACATTAATGTATGCGTTTGTAAATCGCAGTATATTGAGGTGGGTGCAATTCTAAAGAGGCCTTGCCAGGAACGTGACTGGTCGACAGGAAGTGACTCGGCATTCTCGAATGCCTGGACCGAATGGGTCACTCCATCTACACGGTAACGCAGGACAGGCGTTGGAACCTACACATCAGCCTAAATGTAATGCATTGCACCTGAATATTGCATTAGAAACCTTAATTTAATATACCGGTAGATACGGCGAGCATAACAACAAAACATCGTACATACGAGGACAACCTGAAGCACCTTCAAGTCAACTACTATTCGTTTCAAACGGCTCTTCTCAGCAAGTCGCGAATTGCATGGATGGATTTAAAATGTACTTGAAGAGGCATGGTTGCTGTTGTCATCTTCGCTGACGATGGGAAGGAGAACAACGTAGCTATGGCCAATCGAGGAGTACTCTCCGGGGCACATCCGAGCTCTGGAAGACTTCTGGTAAACGATACAATGCGGGTTTATTAGCGGGTATGCAACGATATAGGCTACGGAGGAACCGACGAGGTTTGACCGAGGGAAACTACTGATGGAGCGCCACACCGAGAAGCATCACTCCTTGGTGGACTCGGCGCTTCTGCATCAATAGTTCATAGCACTGTTGTCCCCTTCATAGTAACAATTGGTAACTGGATGGGCCGCGGAGAGGTAACTAAGGTGTAAAATGGTGGAACTCATGAGGTGATGAAGTGCTTACGCGTTACAGAGAAAACAGCGCCGCTTCTGCCGCTTCAGTTGAGAAGGATGAAAACGGGTTTGAAAAGATCTAGGCATAAAGGCTCTAGATTTCGGGTCTGTAAGTCGCTCTTGCCGAGAAAATATATGAAGCGAGAACAGAAGGCAGTTGGCAAATCCGGAATTCAGATGGACGGGGGGATTTACCGAGGGCTCGTGTGCTTCTTCTGCAGACAACAAGGTCATAGAACTCAGACTTTCCGGCTCATGGAAAGAGCTAGGGAGCTAGAGAAATGAGACTCGAGCAGGTCCGCCAAGAGGACAAAGCTTGGAACGGCCGTGCCGTGGTGGGGTGACCGCGACAATGGAGTGGGCGGACATAACCTTTCGGTGGCCGGGGATGCGTCGCTGAGCCGAAAAATATCTGCTCATCTTTTCCGGGACGCTAACAACTCAAACCGAGAAATACTCTTAGGAGGCTGACAGCCCATGCAGGTTGCTGAGGAGTACTGCGAATCAATTCCCTTGGCACCCCTACGTGCCTGCACAACTCATAAGCGTATCAGCAAGAGTGCGTATGCGCAATGCAGCTTGATTCTAGGCCGCATACAACTATTCGGCGGCTGTTGCTCTCTCATGCGTAAAACGCTCATGCCTTTACATGTACTTTCTCTACAGCGCTAATAGCTTTCACCCGTGGCGCTGTGCCCTCGTCTATATCTATGCTCCACCGCTTACAGCACTTCCATGTTTTGCGCATTTTGGGCTATAAGCCCCTCTTCAGTGCTGGTCGGACCCCTGTCTCGGCTGCACACTGATGTTACTTGTCGGAGTTACTTCACAGCATACTTTTTACATGGTTAGGATGCTTGCACGGAAGAACATATCCAAACACAGGAAAAGGGTATTGGATACCTTACAAAACCAGTGCCAAAGCCACTGAGCAGGCCTGCGAATACAAAAAGCTGGCAGGCATCTGCAGCGGGAAGTCGAAGCAGCAACTCCAGATACCTCACGACCCCTTTTCCCCCGTCTTTTTTCCCTTTCTTTGGTGTTTGGAGTTCTAGCCTCTCTCAGCTACTCCTCCGCCTTTCTCGTGGCTCTCATCCGTTGGGGGACAGCTAGGCACATAAAAGTGCGTGCTGCTAATGAGAGAGCGGGAGGGGCGTTTGGAGGGGGGGAGGGGGGCGGGTTGGGGGCGAATTCAGCACGTTTTGCCTGATATTGACAATTCCATTTCTACTCCCTTGGTGGCTGGCAAACTGCCAAGTATGTGTTTAACAATTGTCTAAGTTGCAATTAACAATCGCGCATGTGTATGCAACAAAGGGGGCTTGGTTATGCTTGCGTGTGGGGTTGCTTCGCAGCACGAGTTACAGCACAGCTGCCGCTCATGAAATGCTGCTTCATCTCCCTATCAAGCCTCACGCGTTTGAGCTGCTGCGCCTTAGGTATTATAGCCCTTTTGCAACTCGCAGTGGTCCCTGCCGTAGGTCGACCACTCTCTTCACACACAAATCTTAGACAATGGTCAGGCGCCTGCTCGCCACTCAGTAGATATCCAGGGAAGAATAGATAAATACACACATTTCTTGCCGACCATGGTACAGAGAGGAATAAATAAGGCCCCGTTTCCTCCCCCGCCCCCCATCCCGCCCCC